TCACACAAGTTATTTCAGAGTCACTGAAACAACTTGGTAATAAAAGATTGACTGAAAATTATCCAGTGAAATGGTTGCTCAGACATTGATTTTGAAATGTGGCTCATCAGAATCATTTTGAAAAAACGATAAATGAAACAAGTCAGGGCGAAAATGATGGTTCCTCTGGAAAACATTGAAAAGAACTAGACTGCATGTTACTCTAATATGTGTCTTCTACAATAATTAGCCTTGCAGATCAGGTCTGCCTCTTAAAAGGGTGACCGGTAGCTGTCCCTCTGCTATTTGAGAACTGAATGTGTTCCAGAGTGGACACAGGAAGGAAAGGGGGTTAAATAGACGGTTAAAGGTAAAGGTTATAAAACCATCTCCAAACAGCTTGATGCTCCTGTGGTTCCAGTGGCACATTCAGAAGTTTAAGGTCTACTGGATTGCAGCCAATCTTTCTGGCTGTGCCCTAAGGTGGAAAATTGAAGCCAAAGATAATAGGACTGGTAACCAAAGAGTCCAGAATAACCTCCAAACAAGTTAAAGGTTATCTCCAAGGTCAAATAGGAACATCAGTGTCAGATGGCACTATCTGTTGTTGATCGAGTCAAAGTGGTCTTCATGGGAGACGACTAAGTAGGGAAGCAAGTCGTAAAAAGGCAAACTGGAATTTGACACAATAAGAACTGACAAGCCAAAGTTTCTGGGACAATGTCCTTTGGACAGATGAGGCTAAATTGGAGATTTATGGCAAGGGACATCACCTCTATGTTCAGACACCAAAAATGAAGCATATAGACAAGACCACTTCCATGCTCCCAATAAAGAAATATGAAGGAGGCTCGATTATTGTCTGAAACCGTTTTACTGCATTAAGCACAGGGTGTATTGACTCTGTGTGGGCGATGAAAAAATCTCAAGATTATCGCAGTATTCTGAAGAGAAATATGCTGCCAAAAAAAAAAAAGGTTTGGCCTCAGTCGCAGGTTACGGTTCTCCAAACAAGATATACACCCAAAAACGCAACTAAAAACCCCAAGAATGGCTAAGAGCAAAACATTGGAATATTCTACAGGTCCTGATCCAAATCATATGGAAAGAGCTGAAACACATCATCTGGAACAATAGGGGTCCCCAAAGTGGGTCCTCGAGGGCCTGCATCCTGCATGTTTTAGTTCTCTCCTTGGTGGTAATGACAACCTTTTCAAAATGTCAATGTTCTTCTTAGGCCTCTAACGAGCCATCATTTGATCCAGGTCCGTTAAATCAGAGAGAGAACTAAACCAGCCCTCCAGGAACCTCTTTGGGCACCGCTGCTGTAAGCCATCATTTTGTAGCTGACAACAAAGGTATGGTAAAAAGATGTAACAAAAATCACCAACTTGTCATGTTTTATGCCAATTTAAAGCCGCAGAGCTTTTCATCTCTGGTTCATTTAATTACACGCCTCCCAGCACTAATTTCATTTGACATAACTCTGTGGTATTCCATCTTTGATAGAAAAAAGCTATAATGTGGTTCTGGTGGTTAGATATGCTCTCCAGAGAGCTTCACAAACGTGATCAAATAACTATTTCCCATGGAGAGACGGTTTGGAAAATCATTTGATTTGTTATAATCATTCACAGAGAACAGAAAGGGAAAGTGAGCAATCTCCAACGCTTCCTGTAGGAGAACTGCAGTGAGAAATCTTATCTCCACAACAACTATTAGTAAATTATCTACATGCCAACATGCCAGGCATCAAAGCATCTTTTTGAAAGATAATGATGATAGTGATTGAAAATATCTGTCTGAATCGTTACAGAAATAGTTCACATACTTGACCTCTTTCCACGGCCTCTTAGTCAAAAGACCTGAAACCTACAGAACATATTTGGAGCGACACACTAAGAATAGATGAGTCTGACCAGCCTGAGTAAGAAAAGCTGAAAGATTCCTCTCTTCGTATGCTCCGACCTTATTAAATGGGATAGGAGAATAATAATAAGCATTGTTGTATTTGCCAAAGGGGTTGTACTAGCAGTAATTTGAAATGTGGGATTTTTTCTTTCACCAACTCAAATGCACTCCAATTAAAGGCTGCATTTTTATATTTTTCCCATTGTGGGAATATGCTGCTGCAATTAAAAATGAGTGTATTCTGGAGCTTTTTATAGTTCATTTGGGTATTGATTAGATTTTTCATTGATGCCACTTTGACAGAAGTGTTTGCTTTAAAAAATGTCCAACTCTAGGACAGATATGTATCAGTCAGACATTAGTTGGCTTCACCAGAAACCTTTGTGATGTTTGTGTTAATATTTTAAAATCAAGGCTTCATTAAAATTCATAACAGAGGAGGAAGACAAATTTAAACTACCCCAGTTGTGGAGCAAAACTTTTATTCTAACTAGAGTTTCAGATGCGCATAAGGAAACATTGCTCCGTGCCTTTCCTCGATGGATCACGAGCCATAATTAAGAAGCACTGAACACATATCCGCATGAGAATATCTCCACCTACATTCTGCTGTATGGGTGTTTTATTTATTTATGTTCATCCAGGGACTGATAACAAAATGCCCCACCACATGCGAGCAGCGGTAATGCGCCGCTTCTCGCCTTAATGACCGCTTTGCTCCAACGTAGGTGGATGTTGTTTGTCAAGCAAATTGTGATGCAGAAGCCCGAAAGGAGCGACCTTTCCAAAAAATTAACATAAACCACAGAGAGCTGAGCGCAACGTGAAAGTTTCAGCAATAACTCACACACGCGCGCGTGCACACACGCACACACACCAAGGAGAAATAACTGACTGCCTCTGCTGACCGGCGCGGCCTTTGCTCCTCTTCCCCCCTCGCCGGCTTTTGTTTCTCTGCCCACACGTTAACAGCATGGATGGTTGTGATAGTCATGGTGTTCTGTGTATGTACAAACAGACCTCTGTCAACAGATTCTCAAAGTGAGTCAGCTGTGCTGCGTGATCATCTCCACTGGAGAAATCAGCAGTGATTACCAGAGAGCCACTGGCTTCAACTCGGTAAGCCTCCATCATTTGCTAACCAGGTTTTACTTAGAAGGCACTACTTTCTTCACAAAAGAAGAGTTCGTGAACCAAAAAGGCTTTCCAGACATAAATCCTCTTAGGGACAACTGTAAATGACCTGAATTTGTGATTTCAGCCTCTGTGGCAGAGCTTTCCTCCCTCTGTTTGAGACAAGAGCAGCTGCAGCTGACAGACCCGATAAACACAACCTGCCTGATACAAAACGACTCGCATGGAAGAAGCCAAACATTTAAATGTTTTTCCAAAGGATAAAGAATTAACATTGTGGAGTAAAAATGATAGACAAAATGTGTTTTATTTGTTTAATAAAGAATGTCTTGCTTGTTCTGTTTGCCTCCAATCAGTCACCAGTTTGTTATGACATAAACTGGTGACTTTTAAAAAACTTTGTCATAATGGACCGTAGTTGTACATAAATAGAAACACAGGATGCTGATATGGTAAAAAATGGAACATAAATAAATACTGAACTGTAGCCAAGCCGCTAATTTGTAATGGAAAAATGTGAGAGAGCTTTTGCTGCTAAAACCATTTGGTCTGGTAGGAAAAAAAATTCTCTATTGGAAACGTTGTGCCCTAAAATTATGAAATTATTGGTACCTTTGATTCACATCAGGGAGAAACAAAAACCTGAGAGAAAACAGTTTATGTCACCAGGAGACTGCAGCAGGTGTTTGTGAGGTTCAAGTTCATCCAATGAGAAAATACTTTACCACTGCAGTAGTTTTACATGTCACTTATGAGTACAACATTAATGTCTGCAGATTTCTCTTTGTGATAATAATTAGCTTCAGCTCATTTGACATATTTTAGCATTAGTTTAAAGGAAAGTTTTGTGGACAGAAAACATGTTAGTGGAAGCTCTCACTGCAGATGGTCTTTTGGTGCGTTCACACCGAACATCAGGCGCATCTGGTTTACACTCAAAGTCTATGTGGAGGCGCATGGAGGGCCGTTGCGGTGGGTTTCCAGCGTCAAGCCCATCCAAGGTCTGACAGGCTTGACCTGTCAAAACCAAAACCAAAAATGCTTTTGGTGTGAAAATGCATCAAACTTTAAGTTTCAGACGGGTTTTTGATGTGCGTCACGCATTTGATGTGAACGCACCATCATGGGATTTAAGGGACCTTAGACTGTGTGAACAAAACAGTGTTTTGACATCTACCTTACTGTGGTGTAAAGCATCACAAGCTAATAACCACAGACTGATTACAGACTGATTATGTGTACATAATCAGCTCCAATTACAAGCCCTACTGTTATTTCAGGTACAAAACCATTAAAATGTTCAAACCTTTCCCTCAGGCTATTTTTTTTAAACCAATTTTATAATCCCATGAAAAGTTAACAAAAGCAGACGCCTAAAACTTACATCATCATATTTTGGCACCATTCTGTTGCAGTATTGGCTTCATTTTTCTCACTTTTTTTCCTTCATGTTTTCTTTTTTAATACAACTCTCTGTTTGGGTCATTGAAATAGAAATACACTTACGAGCTACAATCCTGAACACATCTGAAAATTAAAGTCCTCCGCCCCTGATATTTACCCGAAATCTGTGTTGCATTTTTTTTGTTACATCTCCAAGTCTTCTTCAAAAAAAGTGCACACAATCTTTGACTTTATCAGCAGAGCTATTATAGGACTGGTTACAGTTTTAATTCAAAAAATATTCCTTTGCACCTATTACAGCATCACAGGATGAAGTCATCACATCTTTTACTCTTCCTGGCCTCTAATGGGCAAAAATGACTTAATGTAGCTTTAAATAGAAGCTACACTCCATTTACAATCTCGCCACTATTGTCATTATTCAGCAAATAACTCTTGCTATCATTCCAGGCAATTTAAACCTTCCCTCCGGACGCGAGCAAGACAAATGCACACCTCATTGTGTTTATGAGTCTACGTGAGTCAGATTTTAGAGCGCATGTGTGTGTGAGTGTGTGTGTGTGTGTGCGTACCATGAGACTGGTCCTCCATATGTCCTAGAGTTTCGATCTGCTCCACCAGGTCGTTTGAGTTCCACTGACTCATGCCCAGCAGAATGGCGCTCTTCCCCTCCATAACATCTGCTGGGACACACACAAACACACAGAGTACACACTTAAAAAATGGGACAAAACTGCAGCAAAAACAAACTTCATGCGTATTTGCTATGTTACCAAAGTAAAGAGAATTTTGTTGAAAAGAAAAGAAATAAAATTTTTCTCCTCAAGTGTTTATGCCTCCTGCCATTACGGGTAACGTTTGCGTCCAGAAGCAAGTGCGGGGTTCTCTATCGGTTGGGTGTGGTTTCGTTTAAATTTAGCCAGACCGAGGAGGAGTACTCTTTGCCTGTGCCAAGTGCACACAGACCAATATGTACCGAGTAAACAACAAAAACAAAAAGCCACACGACAGATGATGATGACAGGTCAAATGACAAGGCGTGGCAGCCATGCAGTATTACATATGGTCTGTGACGGCAGGAAACAACTCAGACAGCTATTGTACTGCCAATGCAACACTGGCACATGGCAGGGATGCTGCTTATGCAGACTGAGGATATCTTTACTGCAGAACATTACTTATATTTTTGTCTGTTTCTTGCAACTCATCAAACAAGATAATTCTGCTGGGTGGTACAAAGAAAAAAATTTACACAGCAATGTTTTGAGTTAAGAGTCTGATATGTTTTCTAGTATTTAGCATTTTACCACTTAAGCTTATGAATCATATATAAAACAGACATTTTATGTATAAAAGAGGGACACAATCTGCCTTCTACAGTCTGCTACTCAGCTTTGCCCTCGTCAGAGATATTTAGGTAGTCGTAGTTTTGGAAAGTAATGTCAAAGTTTATATAAAAAATAAAAAAGGGACCATGTAAGTTCCAAAAAATGAACCTCTAAGTTTCATGAAAGCTCCTTGAAGACCTAGTTTCACATACTGAATTCAATAAGAAAAAAACATGCTGACATTAAAATTATTACAATTACAATATTGACTAGCATTAACTCAACTCCATTCAGTGTGTTAAGTTTACTTTAATCAAAATGAGCTAAAATGCTACTTTTTAGCTTTTTTTTTAGAAGGAAACCACAAAATCTAAAGGGATGTGATGGACCAAGTTAAAAACAGGACGAGTCATAGGACATGTTAGAAAAATAGCTTCTTTTTTTTATTTTAACCCAAAGATTGTAAATGACAAAAGATAAACTGAACTCATAAAACTTGTCAAAGAAACAAAACTGAACTCAGGCAAAAAATGTAAACAAACTGGCTGCACAAATAAACATAACTGACCTAACAAAGAAATGACAAACAGGGGTTTATTCACTGGCTGATCAGACCCATTAAGACATAATAGGGGTAACGAAACAGAATACAATAACACAAAAATATTAAACTTTAAATACAAATATTTACTTAAATGCAAAACTTATTTAAACAAAGAAACTACAAGGCAGAAAAACAAACAAAGAATTAATCTTAAGCAAACAAAATTAACTGTAAGTTGATAGAAATACATATGTTAACTAAATGTGCAAGGGTTAGGGATAGATAACTAAAACAAATGTATCCAAATCATCTAATTAATGTTTTATTGAAACTAAAGCATTGTTGTGTTTGTGTGAAAAAATAAATTGTGCATAAAAAGAGTTACCGACATAGGAGTGTGGCCATGGGAGTTTCAGGAAATTACCTGTTAAGTTTTGAGAAGTAACCAGGAAGAACCATTAAAGCTCCAGAAAGTAGGAAAACTAAAGTAGGTTATTTAGTTGTATTTTTTTTTAAATAAAATGTTATCAAAAATTATTTTGATCAAATAACCAAATGCATAACTTAAGCATATCATTGGTTTCATTTCTCAGACTGATGATATCAAGCCTTTCTTTTTCTTAATTATGATGATTTTCCCACTTAGAGCCATAAAAACACATTGAAGATTAGCTTATGATGACATTAAACGGTTTACTCAATCAGGATTTACTTTGAGTAAATCATGCTTAATATCTTCTTGAAGATTACTGTTTTTAATCTGACAAAACAAACCTCATAAAGCATTTCTAATTTCCTGAATGTGACCTTAAGTCGTTACCGGGAAATTTTGTGGCTGGATGTAGCAAACTCTAGAAACATTTAACATGTTCCACTCAAAAAGCAGCAACTTCTTTAAAATTGTAATGTGTTAAATTCAATGCAGCACCCTCCACATTTTCTTTTTAGGTCTAGCAGCTCTATAACTGGCAATGACGTAAATAAGAAAAAGATAGTTCTGGCACGTATTATGGCACTGTCGCCCTCATAAATATAAATATGACTCAAGACATGCAAAAGGGACTACTTGTAATTATTTTTCTTATGTATTGAGAAAAAGCCCCTAACACCTTGAGGGCTCTCTATAAACCAAATGTTTACACCTCACACAAATAATGTGAACAAAACCAACAAGGCAAAGCTGCCCACTGATAAATCATCTAACCTGTTTAAATTCTAATAAAAAAACACCAGAGGTTTTTTGTGATGTATACCATCACTGATGCTATACATCAGTGATGGCAGTTAAGTGATTAGATCAGTGCTTCTCAATTATTTTCCGTTACGCCCCCCCTAGCAAGAAGAAAACTATTCGCGCCCCCCAGTCCCCACCGTGACTATCCATCTCTGCATAACATTTTTTCCTTATTAACATTTTTTTCGCTGAAAAACTCTAGCGGCTTATCGGCGTGATTGGGATGTAACGTATTTAAGTGACGCGCTAATTTATTTGGCTTCATGCTGTCCGCTGCGAGCATTTTTAGACACAGCAAACACACCGGTCTTTCCTCTTCTCCAACTGTAGTCACAGTGAAGCCAAGCGCTAAATACGCTTCGTCGTATTTCCTCTTCTTAGCTTTCGGTTGACTTTCTGTTGTCTCATTATCTTTGTCTCTCTCCGCTTTTCTTTTCATCCCTGTGAAAAACTTTTTCATGTTGGGGGTTGTTGAATAACGGAGGCCATAGACAGAACGCAGTCGGAGCTTTTTGTTGACTTAACACTGCTAACCAAGGCAAACCTGTTGTCTTGTAAGTCGTAAAATGTTGCACTGTCGCAAACGTGACAGAAGTAACAATGAGAGCGCCACTGCCGCCTACTGTGCGCAATTACACTTTATACTAGTTCGGCCAAAAAAAAGCCTGTTCCTCAGGATCACACGCCCCCCCAGGTATCGCACCGCGCCCCCCAAAGGGGGCCCGCCCCACTATTTGAGAAGCACTGGATTAAAGAGTTTTAGTAAATGTGGACATGAGGAAAAAACATGGACTATGAATCAGATCATACTTTAAAAGAAAAAAGAAAAGAATGGGAACTGCATTGAATACAAATGACTCCGTTGGTCTTCAGAGTCGGTTCTTCTTAATCAATTTGATTTACAAACGACACCTTAAGTAATTACATTTGCTTTTGACGTGATCATGGAATGAAAACGCTGAATTTTCTCTTCCAGCTCCTCGTCTTTATTTATGGTCCTCGTCTGTCTTTGTGAGTGCATATAGGTTTGAATGTGTGTGTGAGCGGGCCTGGCATTGTGCATCCAGGCCATGCTCTTGACTTTAGTACACAGCAGAACCTCAGGCTCTTTGCCAGACCAGGTGGGTCACGATGTTGAAGCGAAAAATCTGAAAAACTGGTTGAAGTAAACTGCCAACCAGACTCATTAGAGAAGAGTACCCCGTTGAAAATAAATTTGATTTTCCATTTTAACCCACTGCGCAGATTACGATTAGCGTGTTCCAAAACACGCTCTGCAGTCATGGAGAATAAATGAGGCTGTTCCAGAAGAGCTCTGGCTGAGAGGAAGGATGCAAATCAGTTCCAGTTTCCCCCCGTCCACATGTCCAAATGTCTCCAGGCAGGACACAAATCCCCACACACACAATCGGCTTGCATGAGTAAACTGTAGCTTAAAAATGGTTTGAATGGTCAGTTATGCTACAACAACAATAAAGAAACAGATGGTTTCCCAATAAAATGAAGGAAATCTGTGAAGAGGAGTGATGTAAATTTAGTCAGGAAACAATAAGAAATTCTCTTTCAAATGAAGATTTGACTTTCAGGAGAGAATAAAAAGAAAACGGTTTGATCTTACTCGTTTCCCCCTCCATGTACTGCAGATTCTGCAGCAGAGTAATGGGTGTCTTGTTGTAAAAAAATGGATTTCCTGTTATCTCAGTGTTAGCTGAACATTTCCTTTACTGAAAAGGCATTTGCGGAGGCGCAGACTGGGAGAGGACAACAGGGAGTTAGCTTTGGGCTGCCGGTCTGTGCTGCAGGGCACATCCTGGCTTCGCTCCTGTCCTCTTTCCTGGATGACCACGGTCACTTAATGGCCGTGCATTTTGCAACCACACTGCCACCTTTCAAGGTTATCACCGCCATCAACGCGATAAAGACCCTGTTTTCTCCCCAGGGGGCGTCGACTCGGCGATTCCTTCTAAACACCGTCGAGCCGCAGAAACCGCAGTTCTGCTGCAACGTGTCTTATTCCCAGAAGGGACTGAAATGCACTAAAAGTCGCTTGAGCTGTTAAAGCTTCCTGTGGTGCAAAATTTAGCTTTACATATTTAACAAAGAAAGGTTACCATTAGTTTGAAAAGTTAAAATACTCATAAAGTGAAGGGGAGCAAAGAGAGCCTGTTACTCTGTAATGGACTTGTATTTACTCTGCTTGTTTTACGCTGCTAATGGGATTTCAATGTTTATCCTGAATGCTTTGAATCAACTTGGTATAAAGCGACAGCGTAGATGGTGCAGCGATTTTAAACGCTGATCAAGGAAACAATATATTTAAGAAATTACTGGATGGTGAAGTTACAGGTAAATCTCAGGACTAAATGGTCCCCTGTTACAATAAAGCATTTTATAGTAAACACAAATATGAGGTTTTTATATTTATTAGTTTTTTGGGCGGTTTTTTTACATTTTTGAGAATTTTTTTATTATCTATAAAGGAGGAGTAAATCTACTTTTTTGAGCTTTGTATCATGTTATAACAGTATTTCCTCATCAAAAACATGCTTAGTGTTTTACTCTTTCATGAATATTTGA